ATCATGAACCCCTCTTTGGATATTCACAACATAAGCATCACGATACAGTGCTTGATCCTCAGTTTCCTGATCATTAAACCACCTCAAGTTTTCATTCTTATGTTTAAATTTTTTATAAAGCTTCCATATTTCATAATTATGACATCAAAATTGGTCTTACCTCGAAACATAGAAGCAGGTCTCCAACTTTCACTCTCCCACACTCTGATGGTTCTACAGGAATAGACCGCTCACGCACTGATCTTTTGACGTTCAACCACTCATCATGTTGGTTGTCGAACCCAGAAAATCGCACACGCGCTTCCTGTTGCAGGTACACTCTCAGTAAGTTCCAAACAAACCAGCCACTAAACAAAAGAGAAGAACCTTACCAGTTCACCATTGCTAAGAGTTCTATAAGTTCGGAAATAAGCCACGTCATACCTGAAAGACCAGAGTTCGATCAAATAAGCACAGATATTAAAGCAAAAAGGTCTATTGCATTTTTAAAATTAAGTGAAAAAGGTGTTTTGCTGAAGCTGACACAGAACATGAGCATTCAAGAGTAAAGGCATATCTTCTTGAGCTCACAATCAACAAGGAATACGTCCGTACTCAAAGGAACACTCTACGTATTTTACTTTGGCCAATTAACAAACTTACTACTTGTTGTGTTTGTGATACAAGACTATGGTTAGTGTATTTCGTTAAAGAGTTTTGGGTACTTTCTTTTATGAATTAGGTTTACATTAGAGTTTTTTCCATTTTATGATCTGGCGTTTGAGGCTAAATTAGGTCTCAATGAATTTAATAAGGGAACAGAATATTCAATGCAAGTAAAACATACTTACCATGCGTCGTCCCTTTCTGATTTAGCCTCAAAAGCCAGATCCATTAGATCAGATGCCTTGCCTGTTTTATCACCAATGTTTAGAAACTAAGGCAGAGGATAGGCATTAATTAAAAAAAGAAGACACAAGAAAAGGAAACAAACCCTTCCGTTTTGGAACAGAGTTAGCATCGCTGAGATTTGACAAGTCAGCAATCTGCAATGGAGGAGATGGCTTAGTCTTGAAGTCGGCTTGGTTTTGCTGCTTCAGCTTCTCCTGAAACCAACTCTGTACCTGAAAACCTCAAAGCAAGAAGAAGTTAGAGAAAACCTTCACTTGCATTAAACCACTTGTATGGAGAAAAAGAGACGCACTTGCTCCCAGGTAATTGAGGGTTTGCCTTTCCGATTCACAGAGAAACTTTTGATCCCCAAAGGAAAACAATCCAAGAAAACATTAAGAGTTCAGATATTCAGCATGAAAATAACATTTTAAAAAAAAAATAATCCTTTAAATCCACCTATAATTCCGGCAAATAATAGATTTCTGAATTTAAGATCATTAAAGTAATTTACAGGAATTGCGTCGCTCTTCTTTATCAAAGCCATTCACAGGATAAAATCCTCCTATATGATTGAGAAGAACATACCTAAAGCTGGAGGCAACAGTTTGACAGAAGTCTTTGTGGAGAGACTGATCGCCGAGCTCCTTGTACAGATTCTCCATGTCAACAATCTGCTCATAAGAAGAGCATGCATAACAATTAACAAGGTTACATCCCATGATTCTCTAATCTAAGAAAACGAAATACAGAGAGAAAGCAACGAGACCTCGGCCAATGTAAAGTCGGTGAAATTGGGAGAGGCATCATCGGCAGCAGGCTCCATCGTCGACGGTAGCTGAATCAGTTGGGAGTGTGTTTAGTGTGCTGATTCCAATTGGGAGTGTGTTTACTGTTTAGTGTGATTCGGAGTGATAGTGATGGGATTAGATGGGCCCAAATTGAGTTCTATCTGGGCCTCATCGTGTCAATAAAGGCCTCACCCGATAACAATAGCTTATCATCGCTAATTAACTTTCTGATTAAAATCACTAATGTTTTATCCATGTCAAAGACTCAAAGGTAGTAACATGTTCATATGTATGTTCATTCACATGTTCACATCAGTGGTAGCTTGAACAACCAACAATTTCACCATCTCCATCCCTAAAACCATGTTTTTGGTTCTAAAGCATTTTTTATTATATGATTTCACACAAATCAATCTAACAACTTTTATTTGGTTTCTTAATTTTTTCTTCCTCCATCCCTAAAACTTTTTATTTGGTTCTTAACAAAAAAAATTCAATTTTACAAAAATTATAACTTCAAACATAATACATAAAAACATAATATATATAACATTTAACCAAATTTTTACAAATGAGCTTGCTCATCTGTTTTTCTATTGCTTTGGTTTTCATACGTAAATACAAAAAACATGTTTAATATTTTTGTTATTTGTTCTTTCAAGTTAGACACAAAGATAACGAATCTCCAAAGATAACAAAGTGTGACTGAATCAATTCAAAACGAATCAGAGCTTAGTACAACCAAGAAAAAGTATAGAAGCTAAATCTAATTCTAATTCATGGAAAACTAAAAATTGCAATGATATGGATACAAATGCGAAGGAGTTTGATGGGTTGTTGAGCAGAACAAGACTCCCAGAGAAGTGAAACTCTCCAAAACCAGTCTTAAAGACAATCGTTGTGTATCTTGCTGCTGGACTTTTCAAGAGTTGGATGCATTGCAGAGTTTGTCTGTTGATGGGAATCGGTTTGGAAGCGTTGGTGTAGAGGACTTGCTTTGTCCATTGTGTAGATTCTCTGCTCTGCAATTTCAAGCCAACATCACACTCAAGACAATTGTGTTTGGAGGTGAAGAAACCAATCATGAGAGTGGTGAAACAAATCATACTGGAGTAGAGAGAGAGCTACAAAGAAGTTCAAAAACAAACCTCTTGCTAGCTGTTCTCGAGTTTCGTAAATCATAAATCAAAAGAAGATTATAAGTTTAACTCACAAGCTTGAAGCGTTGAGAAGCATTCAGAGAAGAACCAATGCTATTATCCTCTTCAAGCTTTTTATTTTCAGGAATAGTCCAGCTAAAACAAGTGATCAAGATGCTAAGAATCAATCAAAAACAGTTGAAAGTTGAAACCCAGAAAAGATAAAGCAAAGATTTTGAGTAAAACTAGAACATAAACCATCATTGTATGAGAAGTACATAAAGCTTCAATCTTTTAGTCCTAAAACCTAAATTCGACAACAAAAGACCCAAAATTTGATACATCTAGCATCGAAATTACTTTAATTTTAACTATCCAAGTTCTCGAATTTGAGAACGACCAAAAAAGAATTGAAACAGAGCTAAAGAAGAAAGTGGAAAATTGACAAACCTCTCGAACAATTGTGACTCTGTTTCTTGTCTTCAAATCCTATTTCTGAAACCAAATTAAGAAAATCGTTGATCAATTGAAGCAACCAGGTTTTAGAATCAGGAAAGTGTAAGAAATAGAGATCGAGAGACAGAGACATAGTGATGGAGATTGGAAGATAGGCAAAGAGAGCGACGTCTGTCCGATCAGAGGTCGGCCGGAGACGATCGACGGAGTCGATCACGAAGAGGCGACGCCTCGTTTCTCTATCGGTGAGAGAAAACGAGAGAGAGAAAAGAAATGTCGATTTTTAAAAATTTTCTCTTTTTCTCTTTGGGTGAAAAAATGTGTGCTCTACACGTGGCAGGTTATAAACCAACCATGTCGAAAGGTTTCACGTAAGAGTTGGTTTTAAGTAATTCTTTTCTTTTATCTTTAATTAATTTGTCAAAAATGCTTTAAGACCCACCTAAGAACCAGGGATGGATGGAGATGCCCTAACAATTGTCGGTCAACGTAATGGAAAATGGTGGGTGGACCCCACAGTGGGGAATCTTCAGGAGGCACATGACTCTTGTAGCTGGTGGCGTGTATATTATTAAGGATAATGCTCATGGTTAATCGAAATATCGTATTTTATTTCATCACAGCTACTCCTCAATGTCCTCATTTCAGGCACTTCTTCGTTTTTATTTTCTTTTGTTGTCGACAACCGAGCCCTCTCATACAAGATTCCTTTATTAAAATATTGTATTCAAAATTTGAAACATATTCTTTGGTTAGCTAGTAACTTTAAACGTGCTGTTAAATATTTTGATAATTTGATATAGTTAGAAATGATAGCAGCAAATGGACTGAGCGATTGGATTGGAACCATGCACATGGCTGTCCTTGATATTGGAACCATGCACATAGGGTATAGCACACCGTATTAGACTAATCAGTAATCCCACGCAGTAGATATATAATTTACTTTACTCAATGAACACAAGTATAGCATTCGGAAAATGGGGTCGAAATGTTTGACTTAAATAAAGGTTACTTAGTCATAGTGAACAAATAACGAAACATAGTAGATTACTTAATTATGTGCATAAGTTTCTCTTTATTTGTTCTGCATTGTGGTTACTAATTACTAATGACTCTTATCGTTACGTTGTCATTACCAACTGCCATGAGCCTCGTACATTTCTTCAACCCATGCATCTTTAGAAAATGGACTTTCAACTTATTTAGAAGTTTCAATTGACAAAGTAATTTAACTAGAAGTTTTTTTTTGTAATCTCCCTCCCTTTTCTATTGCTAACGAGAGAAGGTGAGGAAAGATAAACAAACAAAGCCAAAAAGGAAACAACCTGTCTTGACCAGCTACATCATTTGGCTCTATACTATTACAAACGTGATATATCAAATATTTAAATGGGTATGATTAAGTAGCCTTCATTTCCCACATGGCTTATTCTGTTTACAGAGGATCAATTATTACCTCTTGTATACTAAAATATTACAAAATTTGAAGGCTGAATCAAACGAGATCTTCATTTTTCATATTTTTATTTTGTTAGAGAGAGCGAAAAAAACAAAAACCAAAAAGCATCAACAGTCGTTGTTCCTATATAGAGGCTCGCTTCTTCACCATTTTTCTTACTCTCACTCTCTCTCCAAAAAAATTTACATAACATCCCGTTGCTATTCAAATATGAGTCCTCACTAGTCTAAAAGAAAGAAAGAAGCGTCAAGTTAGTAGAATCACGACCTGAGAGATTCATCAATGGACCTAAAGATGGATTACGATCCAGGTCTGAGCAGAGGAGGGAGTATGCGGAGAAGCATAAGCCGCAGTGTGAGCAGAGCAAGTAGAAACCTTGAGGACATCTTCTCACCAAGCACTAGACGAACCAAGTCCGTCAACGAAGACGAAGAAGCTCTCAAATGGGCTGCCATCGAGAAACTCCCTACCTACAACCGTCTCCGGACCAGTCTCATGCCCGCTCTCGCCGAAGACGACGTCTACGGCAACCAGATCCTCAACAAGGAAGTGGACGTGACAAAACTCGACGGCGAAGAACGTCAGAAGTTCATCGACATGGTCTTCAAAGTCGCCGAGCAGGACAACGAACGAATCTTAACCAAGCTGAGGAACAGGATCGAAAGAGTCGGGATCCAGCTTCCGACAGTGGAAGTGAGGTTCGATCAGTTGACTGTGAAAGCCGACTGTTACACTGGTGACAGATCTCTTCCTTCGCTTACAAACTCCGTGAGAAACATGGGAGAATCTCTTCTAGGCATGGTCGGAATTCAACTTGCCAAGCAACAACAGCTTACTATTCTCAAAGATGTCTCTGGAATCGTCAAACCTTCAAGGATGTCGCTTTTGTTGGGACCTCCTGCTTCAGGGAAGACCTCGCTTTTGTTGGCTCTCGCCGGTAAACTAGACAAATCTCTTGACGTCTCTGGGGAAGTAACTTATAATGGTCACGGCCTCAACGAGTTTGTTCCAATCAAAACCTCTGCTTACATTAGCCAGAACGATCTTCATGTCGGTATCATGACCGTCAAGGAGACTCTTGATTTCTCTGCTAGGTGTCAAGGCGTTGGTGCCCGTTACGGTAAAAAATCTTTATTCATCTAAATATTCATTTTTGTTGTTTTTTTGTAAAATAAATATAATCTTATCTGTAATCACAGATCTTCTAAACGAGCTAGCTAGGAGAGAAAAAGACGCAGGGATTTTCCCAGAAGCAGATGTTGATCTATTCATGAAGGCCTCTGCTGCTCAAGGTGTCAAGAGTAGTATCATCACTGATTACACTCTCAAAGTCAGTCCCTCTCAACCTTATAACCTTATTCTTTTTTAGAAAATTAGGAAATTCCACTAGGATGAATAGTAGTGTAAGCTCAAAAATAATATGAAAAAATGAGAATATTTTACCTACAGTCACTATCTTTTGCTAGTTACAAGCATGCATATTATGATCTTCAGATGTTTGAGATAGTTAACTTCTTATAATAACTCTTCTACTTCTAGTTGACTAGGTATATGTTGTATGATACTTAGTATAAAGCTTCTAATGGACATCGTTTGATGAAACAGATTCTAGGGCTTGACATTTGCAAGGACACAATAGTTGGAGATGACATGATGAGAGGAATTTCAGGAGGGCAGAAGAAGCGAGTGACAACAGGGGAGATGATTGTTGGTCCTACTAAGACTCTGTTCATGGATGAGATATCCACAGGGCTTGACAGCTCCACAACTTTCCAAATAGTTAAATGCCTTCAACAGATCGTTCACCTCACTGAAGCCACCGTGGTCATATCTCTTCTCCAGCCTGCTCCTGAGACGTTTGATTTGTTCGATGATATAATCCTCTTGTCGGAGGGACAGATTGTGTACCAGGGACCTAGAGACCACATTCTAGAATTCTTTGAGAGCTTTGGCTTCAAGTGCCCTGAAAGAAAAGGAACAGCTGATTTCTTGCAAGAGGTAAAAACATACACCTCTCTAGCTATCTTTTGATATTCATTTTAACTTAGATCCCAAAAATGACAGTTTACTTGTGGAACAGGTTACCTCTAAGAAAGATCAAGAACAGTATTGGGTGGATCAAGACAGACCTTACAGATACGTTCCGGTTTCAGAATTCGCCAGCAAATATAAAACATTCCACGTTGGGGAACAGCTTTTCAAGGAGCTATCAGTACCGTTGGACAAGTCCAAAGGCCACAAAGCAGCACTAGTGTTTGAAAAGTACTCAATCAAGAAAACAGAGCTCCTCAAAACCTGTTGGGACAAAGAGTGGATGCTCATGAAGCGAAACTCCTTCTTCTACGTCTTCAAAACGGTCCAAATCATCATCATCGCGGCGATCACGTCAACAGTTTTCCTCAGAACAGAGATGAGTACAAGGAACGAGAACGACGCCAACATGTACATCGGCGCACTGATATTCGCACTGATCGTCAACATGTTTAACGGTATGGCTGAGATGGCCATGACGATCCAGAGACTTCCCGTGTTCTACAAGCAAAGGGATCTTCTGTTTCACCCACCTTGGACATACGCGCTTCCTACTTTCTTGCTAGGGATTCCAATCTCCATCTTCGAGACAACGGCGTGGATGGTGGTGACGTATTACACCATAGGTTATGCACCGGACGCAGACCGGTTCTTCAAACAGTTCTTGATCGTGTTTTTGATCCAGCAGATGGGTGCAGGGATATTCAGGTTCATTGCATCAGTTTGTAGAACAATGACCATAGCCAACACCGGAGGTATGCTCGTTCTACTGATCGTGTTTTTGACCGGAGGTTTCCTTCTTCCTCGAACTAAGATTCCGGATTGGTGGGGATGGGCTTTTTGGATATCTCCTCTTTCGTACGCTTTCAATGCCATCAGCGTCAATGAATTTCTTGCTCCTAGATGGATGAATGAAGTGGTAAGCAAGTCTCCTTAAAACTTTTGTTAATCATAACAAGTAGTAAACATTACAACGCCTCATTTCTTTTGTCTGTTGTTGTATTAAATGCAGTCTTCCGACAACACGACGAGGTTGGGATCAATGGTGCTTAACATGTGGGATGTGTATGATGATAAGAACTGGTATTGGATTGGAATTGGAGGCTTACTTGGTTTCATTGTCGTCTTCAACGGTCTTTTCACACTGGCACTTACTTATCTGGACCGTAAGTCTTTAGTCTTTCACTATTCAGTATTCCATTCCTTTTTACTGTCATCAGCAGCTAAGGGAAATATTAACATGTCTTGTATCCATCATAACATGATAACAACAGCCCTTGGGAAGCCACAAGCTTTACTTCCAAAAGACGAAGAGGCTGAACAGAAAAACAAACATGCAAATGGATCCAACGGTAATAATTCCTCTGTTTTATACATAAAAGTATAAAACCAACGAAATAAGTTAAAGAAATTTATAGTATTTAGCTCACATATATATTGGAAAACAGGGGACACCAAGAGAGGAATGGTTCTTCCTTTCAAACCTCTAGCTCTGTCCTTTGACGACGTTAAATACTTTGTTGACATGCCTGCGGTAATGTTTTGAACACTAGTTAAATTTTTTCTTCTTTCTTTCAATTATTGTATATAAACGAAAAAAAATAAATTCTTGACACACTTTGATGGTGCAGGAAATGAGGGAACAAGGAGTTCAAGAAACGAGGCTACAACTTCTAAAAGGAGTCACAAGCTCTTTCAGGCCAGGAGTCTTGACAGCGTTGATGGGTGTGAGCGGTGCGGGGAAAACAACATTGATGGACGTTTTGGCCGGAAGAAAAACAGGTGGTTACATTGAAGGAGACGTGAGAGTATCTGGATTCCCCAAAAAACAACAGACATTTGCTAGAATCTCTGGTTACTGTGAACAAACAGACATCCATTCTCCACAAGTTACCGTGAGAGAATCACTTATCTTCTCTGCTTTCCTTCGCCTTGCTAAAGAAGTAAGCAAAGAAGAGAAAATGATGTTTGTCGATCAAGTTATGGAGCTAGTGGAGCTTGTCGATCTTAGAGACGCGATCGTTGGTCTACCTGGTGTCACGGGTCTCTCCACGGAACAGAGAAAGAGGTTAACGATCGCGGTCGAGCTAGTGGCTAACCCTTCGATCATCTTCATGGACGAGCCTACTTCAGGTTTGGATGCTAGAGCAGCTGCTATCGTGATGAGAGCGGTGAGAAACACGGTGGACACTGGGAGGACTGTGGTCTGCACTATCCATCAACCGAGCATTGATATATTCGAGGCGTTCGACGAGTTACTACTGATGAAGAGAGGAGGACAAGTGATCTACTCAGGTCCCTTAGGTCAAAACTCTCACCAGATTGTTGACTACTTTGAAGCCATCCCTGGAGTGCCAAAGATTCCTGAAAAATACAACCCTGCCACGTGGATGCTTGAAGCTAGCTCCCTTGCGGCAGAGTTGAAGCTTGGAGTTGACTTCGCTGAGCTTTACAAGTCTTCTTCTTTATGCCAGTAAGTTGTCAAACACAGTATAACTTAATATGTATATGATGATTCTTGATCTAATATGAATTCTTGATGAACACAGGCGAAACAAGAAGCTGGTTCAAGAACTGAGCGTGCCACCGGAAGGAGCGTCTGATCTCTACTTCGCGACGCAGTTTTCTCAAAACACGTGGGGACAATTCAAGTCATGTCTGTGGAAGCAGTGGTGGACTTACTGGAGATCTCCTGACTACAACGTAGTCCGTTTCATCTTCACATTAGCAACAGCTCTCATGATCGGTACCGTCTTCTGGCAAATCGGAGGCAAGAGATCAAACGTACAAGACCTGACGATGGTGGTCGGAGCGATCTACGCAGCGGTTTTATTCGTCGGAGTAAACAACTGCTCAACAGTGCAACCACTTGTAGCAGTGGAAAGAACAGTGTTCTACAGAGAAAAAGCAGCTGGCATGTACTCAGCTTTACCTTACGCCATCTCTCAAGTGACTTGCGAGCTACCATATGTGTTGATCCAGACCGCTTACTACTCGATCATCGTCTACGCTATGGTTGGATTCGAATGGAAAGCTTCAAAGTTCTTTTGGTTCCTCTTCATCAACTACTTCTCTTTCCTCTACTGGACTTACTATGGAATGATGACTGTCTCTCTCACGCCTAACCAGCAAGTTGCTTCGATCTTTGCGTCTGCGTTCTATGGTATCTTTAATCTCTTCTCTGGCTTCATCATCCCTAGACCGCAGATTCCAAAGTGGTGGGTTTGGTATTACTGGATCTGCCCTGTCGCTTGGAGCATATACGGTTTGATCACTTCTCAGTACGGTGACGTGGATACTCTCATCTTTCAAGTTGGTGGTCCAGCTGACCTCACTGTGAAGCAATACATTAAAAACCAATATGGTTTTGAATCAGAGTTCATGGGACCTGTCGCTGGCGTTCTTGTTGGATTTACTGTCTTCTTTGCCTTTGTCTTCGCCTTTTGCATTAGGACTCTCAACTTCCAGACTAGATAACCATCCGATCTGTTTTTCTTTTCTTTATGTGAAACATTTGTTCCCTTTTTTTTTCTCTTCTTAAATGTTATATACTGAAACATGCAATAATAAGTTTATGCACATGATGATTGCTCGGAAAATTGGGATTTCTGGCAAAACTCTTTCACTCTTTGAGAAAAACCAAGCAGACAACAAAATTAGAACTTTGCAACAAACAAAGTATGAAACATATCGTATAAAGCATACTAGTACGAACTCTGACTATTCTTCTAATTGACTTTTACAGTACTTTGCATCTCAGAAATTAACATCTCAGACTCTCTGTTACTGAGTTTTTTACCTTTTTGAAATTTAATTCCTTTAATGCCTTTTCCCCATTATAACTCTGACCGCCTATAAGGCCGAAATTGCGGTCCTAGAGATACTGAAGTAAGCCTTTGTTAAGCCCATATAGAGATTTAGTTCCTTCTCCAGGGTCATGTGTTGAAGGGTTTCGATCGATTGATTTTTCTTAGGCAGCGACGACGATGGGAGACACCGCCATGGAAAAGACCGCCGATGAGCTACGGCATGAGATCGATGAGCTTCACCGTCAGCAGCGTGAGGTACTATCTCCACCTCAATCTCAATCTCAGTTAATGAATCTCTGCTTGACGGCGATGGTTTATTCTGTATCTTAATCAGATTACGGAGAGGCTTCGTGACCCACGTGGACTCCGACGGGGAGGCTTATCAGGCGCTGCTCCTCGAAACCAAGCCCGTAGAGGCTTTAATCGACCTGTAATTTCCTCTTCGCTTTTTTTTTTTTCTATCTCTCAATTTCTATCCTTTGAGATGAAAGAAATTGCGTTAATTGATTATCGGGTTTTTGTGTATGTTTGTAGGCGGAGAGGAATGACGTAGAAGATGAGCCTCCTGCCAAACGGAGATTGTCTTCCGCCGTTGTTAAGGTATCTGAAGAAATTCTTGTCCAGAAAAGTAATGCATTCTCACTAAAAAGTGATTTCCTTAATCTCTATCGGGATACTTTAGGTCGGAGGTGAAGAGGTTAGTAAGGATGAAGAAATGCCAGATGATAATGGCGACGACAACAAGGTTTCATCAGTTGCTGGAAACGGGAAATCTGATCAATCTGAGAAAAAGCTATATGGTCAGCATCGTGGAAGTTGGTCTCAGAGGGATGCCGAACGAAGAGGGACCAACAAGGTAATCAATCTTAAATCCTCTTTTTACATTGCGAATGTTTTCTCAATGCTCGTCGTCCATGTGCTCTCTATCAGGGTTTTGAAGCTGTTGCAATGCCGGATCCTGGACCAAGGGTTTTGCGTAGGAACGAGGATCCTAATCTGTTTAATAGGAACAGAAGAATGATGGGGAATCTTCTAGGGACTTTGGAGGTACATGGACATAGATCCATGTGATGTATTTTTCTTTATTCAAGTTTTTGTATTCTCAAATTGTTAACATACTTTTCCCCTTCTTCAGAGTTTCAGAAAAGAAGATGAGCAGCTTTCTGGAACAGATGCATACGCCCGACGGTCCGCTGCTCTAAAAAGGGTAAAGCACACGCTTCATATTCCCATGTCTTGTTTCGTGAATAAAAATACATGATATGAGATAGTTTAGAAAGATGTTTCTGCTTACTGAGAGAACCTTCGCTTTATTGTACTTGGATTTGGTAATTTTCATCTCCTATCCTAGGCATCATCTTCCTTCAGTTTCTTTTGTCTTAGGTAGCATTGTAGAGGAACACAAATCTATTTAGCTATGATTTATATTTTGGGAGTTGGGTCTTCTTGCCCTTTGATTTGGATTTCAAAGACAATAACAATGTTAGGTGTAGTTATCATTATATGTCTAGTTAGGAGTGCGTGCGCTTATTTGTTAACTTCATTACTATAAGCATTAATGGTGTTTCTACACTGTATCGCTCACACTTGTATAGGCTGAGGAAAAGGCTCGTGAAGAAAGTGAACAACTGAGGCTGCAAGAGCGTGAAAATATGACTGAAAAGAGGAGAAGAGATCTTGTAAGCAAGCCAGCTACTGTTTATTCTCTTTTACATACTATTCCTAAAGGCATTCGTGTGCACTAGTGATCTGACATACACAATTTAACTTGTCAACCAGACTCTTCGAGCTCGTGTTGCTGCTAAAGCAGAACAAAAGAAGCTGGAATTGCTATTCCTTCAGTGGAGTGAGCACCAGAAAAAACTTAGCAACTTTATAAGGTAGTGCTGAGATGCTGTTTTTAATTCCATAGCGCACACTTACTTGCTCTGCATGATGAGTCTTAATGATGAGTTCTCCTTGTATTCCGTTTGCAGGTTATTTTTAATTTCGGTCCAAAGTGTGCATATTCACAATTTTATAGAAGCAAAGCTAAGTTTCCATTCACGTGCATACAAATGTTGATGTGCAAGGCAATTTGTGTTGGTACATGGCCTGCTATAGGTAGAAATTGGTAGCTGATATATAGGTTTCTGTGAAAACTTAATTTATTTGATTACTTGTGGACGGCTGTTTCAGGACTAAAGCAGAGCCACGGATATACTATGCACTAGCGAAGCCTTTGGAAGAAGATACAACTGAAGTAGAGAAACAGAAAGAGCAGGTAAGGTTTAGTTTTGTGAATGAAAATGTGTTAAGACATGCAAATGCTATGGGATATTGATATGTGACTGGTGATGTGTGTGTGCAGACGTTCTCAGAATGGAAGACCGCAAGGAGACAAGAAGTTAGTGAGTATCAAAAGGAGATAGAAGAGCAGTATCTGGGTAATGTAGAGAAGGAGCTGGAGAGGAGGCAAAACGCAAGGAAGGCGAGGAAAGTGAACAACGAGGCTATGAACCTGCAGGAAACAATGGATAAGGAATTAGAGACGCATCAGATGGAGCATGGGCCAAAGAAAAGGAAGCTACATGGACGAGGAGAGGAAGAGGAAGAAGATGAAGTAGAGGATATCAATGGAGGAGAGGATGAAATAAATATGGATGATTTATTGGAAGAGGACAGTAAGGAAATGGCAGAAGCAGTGGAAGGCGAGATTAAGCTTTAGGGTCGTCAAGTCTTTAGTGTGTTTGTTCTCTTGATGAGCTTTGTTGGAGTTATGCGAGTTAGATAAGTGGATCAATCTATTTTGCAGAACTATATGGTTATTTGTAGGAAAGAATTGCGTTTGTACTGTTCTCATTTATATATCTACTAATACTAGTGACATTGATTCAGTGGTAAAATCATGAGCACATTGTATTTCAAATTTCTAACAAGTTTCGATGGTAGCGCCAGGGAAATCGATTCGAGCTAAACCAGGAATTGACTCACAATCAAACGCTTTGAAATTCAGCAGATACAATGTCAAATTTTCAATCAAAAAGAAAGGACTCTCTAGTCTTTAGAAGAAATCATCTACAGCTAAATCACCATTGCCCAGATTGCGACACGTGTGCATCAAAAGTGGTTAGTCCTCCAATCTAACGGACCTCCTTCATCGCCTACGATCATGTCTTCTCTCCACGGCGATGGTGAAACTTCTTCCTCAACTCTCGGCGATTCTGCTGGTGAAACACCTAGAAAAGAGACGTAAGGCTCTGGCGCCGGTGAAAATCTTGAATCCACGAACCACGGTGACTCTGCCGGCGGATCCACCAAGGGAGGCAAAGGAGCGGAACGGCGGGAAGCCAAAGAGGCGGTGTTGGCGGTGAGGGAAAGAAGATCGGCGAGACCGTGAACGGCAAGATGTGGTCCATAGAACAAACCAGGAAGGAGAAGGTGGACACCGTCGAGATAAATGGAGTCGTTGGAGGAAGACGACTTGGTGAGGACGAGATGGTGATTGGGAAGGAGCGTTGGGAGAGAGGAGTCGTTGGGGAGTGATCGGAGATCGGAAAACGGGAGGCGGACGGGAACGGAGTGGAGGCGGAGCGTGGAAACGTAGAAGGAAAGAGAATGAGTCATGTCGAGATCGAAGAGCATGGAATCGGTTGGGCCGAAGAGTGTGAGGGACTCGACGTCGAGTAGATCGAAGAGCAGATCGGAGGTGATGATGGCGTTGGCGAAGAGAGCTCGGCCTCTGACGCGGAGGACTGTGAGGGCTCTTTCCAGTTCTTCCAAAGGAACTCCGGCGGAAGGATGAGCAAGGCAGATGATGATCAACGCACCGAGAAAGATGGCTCTGAAACAAGCAAACGAGAATGAGATCGCCGCCATTGTTGTGACCTCTGAGGTAGAGAGAGAGAGAGAGAGAAGATATGGAAGAAGCAAGTAAAAGCGGTTGTGAGTTTGTTGTAGAGGAAAGAGAAGCGAATCTTGGGAGCTTTTATAGTCTGTTACTGGCGAGTAATGTTTGGGCTTTAGTTTCCCCGCGCTTACTAAAGTGTAACAGATTTGATTTTAAAGCAACGTCGTCTAACTTACAAGGTCAATCATAATTCAGAGCGATTGGTAACATTTTTCTCCACTTCAAACGAAAAAACAACCAGAAAATAAAGCTTGATGGAAACAACGATTGATGAGGGATGTTGAAAACTGTACTATGCAGTATCACTCTACAAAAAGACTCATTATTACCACTTCAGTCCAAGAGTAAGAAGATACAGCTACCAAAATGGTAAAACCTGAGGAACGTATGATCTCTGTTATCTTTAGATGCGGAGATCTGATCCAGTAAGTGCTCTAGGCTAAAGCCATTCGCTTCCTCGCTTCAAGGGCCTAGAGATCAAAATATGCATCCAGTTGAATATTTATATGTTGATTACACAATAGAAACAAGTCATGAAGAAAAAAGATAGCAAAGAAAAAGGAAAGGACCTGGTTTTCCCAGTCTGTGCATCCGGTGAAAAGACCAAGCAGAAAAGTTTGGAGAATTGCACCAGCTTGTATGCCAATCCAAAGGCCAACACCTTTCAGATCAGCCCAGAAGGCTAAAGTTGCTGCAAAAGGTATCCCCCAGAGATAGAAAGATCCTAAATTGATGTAAGCCCCCATATGTTGCCATCCACATCCCCTTGCAATTCCTGCTAACCATTTATCAACTGTTAGGAGAAGCACTTGGTAGTTGCACTATGTGGAATAACAGAGTATTTGTATATGAGTAGAGAAATAGGACCTGAGAGAACTCCTTGTAAACCGTCCAGTATGAGAGAAATACAGACCAACGGAGCCATCTTTGCAACATAGTCTACGGTTTCCTTGTCACTGCTGAAAACATAACCGAAAGCGTTCCTGCCAACGAATAGAGACGCACTCACTATCAGTGACTCCAATAGGGCAACAGACATTGCTGCGTAGACCACCATATGTGCTGCTCTAGAGTTTCCAGCACCTAATTCATTTGATATTCTTGTGCTGCACAAGAAAAACAGCCGCTTATGAACATGTGTAAACCATATGATTCATTAAGTGTGCTTCTATAGTCACTGAGTAAAGCTCAAACCTTGCTGCAGTCGCAACCGCAAGTGGTATTGAATAGATTGCCCCAACTGTTTGGAGACTGCCCACAGATCGAGTAATATTAAGTAAGCTTGGGAATTTCAAGATTGTGACAAGAAATTGAAATGTAGATGCAAGTGGGAGTTACCAGACAGCGAGCACAGAAGTCTCAAGTTGTGGGTTTGGTAAGAGACCAGAGAGTAATATAATGAGCTCATATGACCACCACTCCAGGCTGCAACACATAAACAGAGACTATAAGTTTATAACAACAACAAAAATGTGGAGGCAATGAGAAGTGACAAGGCACATAGAAAAGTGAAGTCAAGTACCAAATCATAGCAGCAGAAGGAAGAGCGTATCTGAAGAACTCTCCAATGCCTTGGAATATCTCCATTGAGAGTGGCGCACGTGTCTCAGCACAGGCGGAGGAGAAGAACATGATAGAACCAAGAACAATGGCATAGAGCCAGTTTGACAAACCGAGAGCCAAGGCTCCTCCAACATCACCAAGCCCTGACTTGTAAACCAAAAGCCAGCAGAAAGGAACGTGGAGAGCGATCACAAAACAAGAGGTAATGAAGAGAGGTTTGATCAAGCTCTGGTTTTGGAAGTAGCGAGTGAGCGGTGCAAGAATTGCGTAAGAGAACAATCCAGGGATGAGCCAAGCAGCATATCTTCCGGCTTCTTTTGCAATAGAGTGGTCTTGGCCAAGGAACACAAGAAGCTTCTCCATGTTGAACCATATGGCAGAGAGAGGGAGACACACTAGTGTAAGACAGAACATAGCTGTGTATAACTGAACACCTAGCTTTTTATATAGCTTGGCTCCATAAGCTTGACCGCTCAGAGTATCTAACGCAAATGACAATCCTATCTAACAACCACCAAAGGCAAAACAGTAACAGAAGAGTTATGAGGAGATGAAATTTCCATGAGGAGTGTATTAATTTAGAGGAAGAAAGAAAACATACGATGAAGCTGAAGCCGGTGACGTTGCAGAAGGAGGAGGCGAGAGAGGCGCTGGCGAGAGCGAGGTTTCCGAGGTGACCAACCATGACCATTGAGATGATCTGTAACATGAATTGAGCGATGACCACAGCCGCCATAGGAGCAGCGAAGCAGATGATCCGCTTGAGTTCTTCGGTGAATGATCCGTCTCGCAGATCTCTCCATGTGAATTTCTCGACTCTGTCTACCGGCAGAAGCAAGCTAACCTTGGTGTTATTCTCTGCGTCCGCCATGGTGAACAAGGAACAGCCTAGCCGGAGAGAGGGAGAGAGGGAGAGAGAAAGAGTTTGTGCTGTACAAAAACGTTAAAGTTTTGAGTTATGATTGATGAGTGGTGACCGTGAAAGCCTGAGAGGGTCAACCAAGGCGGTGGATTATGTTGTTACAGCTTGCAAATGTGCATGTCTATTGTCTCCATTAAATGATTTTCCTAAACCCAATAAGCAATAAATATATTGCGCTTTCGTCTTTAATCTTTCAATGTACAGAATATTTGTTTTCGACACATCATATTCCTCTGCAGTTCTGTTTCGTCATCCTAGTAGTAACTTTTGTAATGTTACAGACATTAATATGCATGTCTAAAGTTATTTATCAGATCATGTCTAAAGTTTTTTTTTTAAAAGTCTACAGACTATATATTGTATAACAAGGGCTTTGTTTGACTCAAATTCGTGTTCCTCCTCCTTTTCACCAATGTTTTTTTGACCTTTTCACTACTTTCCACACTCTTTTTGCGTACTAATTTGTATTTTACTGTTGTCCCACTCCATTGATTGGACGAAAATGTTTTGTAATAATTCCATGATTTTGTGACTTCTTGGACTCTTCTCCTAAAGGTAACAAAAGGAAATTGTGTACGATATAGGAAATGGATATGAAGCTGGTAAGTTTTCTTGGACTCTTCTCCAAAAGGTAACAAAAGGAAATTGAAGCTATTCTTCAAAGTTGATTATTGTTTGTTTTTGTTACCTTCACAGCAGAAACAACATTTCCACAAGTGTGTGGTTGTGAACAAGATAGTAGACGATATCTTGAGCGTCCACGTGGCAAACACACATGACTGCAGATTAGGTGTTTCGAGACAACACTCCTTCGTGTCACCGAACCAATCGGGCCGCCCTTTTCTACCGCCGGCTAAATTTGACGGTCAAATAGCCCAAAAGCCAAAACTCTCCAACCATGTCTACTCTTCCTTTCGCGCCTTGTGTCACCCATGCGCACTTTAGTCACTCCCTCTCCCCCATGTTTATCCTGCGCCGGCTCCCCCTTACCCGCCAACTCCGCTTCTCCCGCAATAGCCGCGTCGCCTCCGTCGTCTCCGCCGCCGCCGTACGCCAGGACGCCACCCTCTGGACACCAGCCCCTCTCTCTCTCATCGAATCGGCCGCCGAATCGCTTTTCCACATCTCGATCGACATTTCCAACGCTCCCGATCTCGTAGCCTCGTACACGCGACCCGGTCAGTATCTTCAGCTCCGTGTTCCTGATGTCGAGAAGCCTTCGTTTCTGGCAATCGCTTCTCCTCCTTCCTTCGCGGTTGCTCGTGGTGCGTTCGAGTTTTTGGTGAAGAGCATCGCTGGATCCACCGCGGAGATTCTCTGTGGGTTGAAGAAAGGGGAGACCGTTGAGCTTAGCCCTGTGATGGGTAATGGCTTCGACATGGATCAGATTGATCCTCCCGAGCAATTCCCGACGGTTTTGATTTTCGCCACTGGATCTGGAATTAGGTGGGGCTTTGTCCGATTGCTTTAAGTAGTCTTATACCTCCTTATTAGCTGATATTCAATCACCTTAGTTCCAAGGTTACGTTGCAGAGTATTATCCAGATCCAACGCTTTTGAAGTCAGTATCTGGAAGTTGGTTTATTTAGGGCATGTTCGTTTAATAGTTAAGTTAGCTCAAATCATTAGTTACTGATGATAGAGGCAATGTTAAGTTAGCTCACTTGCTTTAATTACACTGGCTCTCGAAAGTTTGGTAGGTCCCTGCTGTTGATACAGCTGAAACTATATCTGATTTGCAAGGAAACTAGACCATACTTGGGTAGTTGAATATGAATTTAATCTATCCAGTCTCTTTGGAAGGTGTCATGGACCTTTTTATGTGGCTTTTCTGCTGTGTGTGTTGATCTAAATATCGAGACATAGCTGTTTCTCTTTGTTGTTCTGGGCCTGGTCCAATCTACAATGTCTAGGGATAGTGATAGGGTCATAGGGACTAAGTAACTGTCTTCACTTGACCTCTCGGAATGTAATCTCTCATGTTCTTTTCTGTGCAGTCCCATCCGCTCGCTAATCGAAACAGGATTTGGCGCTGATAGAAGATCTGATGTTAGACTCTATTACGGTGCAAGGAACCTGAAAAGAATGGCTTATCAGGTTTGGTGCTTTCTCTCAGTTGTTTTGCAATTCAAGATGTCACACTAGATAGATATATCTGCAGTTGAATTGTAGAAAAAATCTTGTGATGATAAGCGCAGTGCCTAGCTCTTGCTCTGGAACTTACCTAAGAAAACACTCTCGATTTTGTAGGAGAAGTTTAAAGAGTGGGAATCATCGGGTGTCAAAGTTGTGCCGGTACTATCACAGCCAGATGATGGGTGGAAAGGGGAAACGGGATATGTGCAGGTGAGACTGAGAAACTTGCTCTTTAATCAAGTGTGTTTGTAACTCAAGATGGATCAAAACTTATATATACATCATCATGTGTTGTGTAGGCTGCTTTTGCTAGGGCTAAACAAGTTTCAGATCCCGCAGCCACAGGAGTGGTGCTGTGCGGACAGAAACAAATGGCTGAGGTATGTGCACTCTTTTGTTGCTGGGAAACTAAAATGTTGTAGAAGATGTGTGTATCTTTATCGTTGCTGTTCGATTTGTGTTGTTGCAGGAGATAACCACAATTCTTGTAGCCGATGGAGTCTCAAATGAGAAGTTGCTCAAAAACTTTTGACAGATATATTTCTTGTATTATCGTAACTTGTATTGTTTCATCATAGTATTATTCATTTGTTGCCAAAATTCTCTTTTAAAGGCCATCTAATTCATAAACACAGATTTTTGTAATCCCTTTGAGATAAATAATACTGTGTTGATTGTCACCACAACATTTATCTAATGATTGATACTGTTAATGTCCATAACCACATTCCAGTTTGATATGTGTTCTTCTCTTAGTTTTGATAATAAATTGGTACATACACCAACCAGAAAAAGGTGTATGCGAAAAAGTATTGAGAATGACACTTGTACTGTAGGTTAAAGCATTGAAATGGTAACGAATAAACAGGAAAAGTTCCATAGTTCGAAATTTTTTCAGGGGTGGTATATCATGGTGATGATGAAAATGAAAATTCTTTGCATACAAATGTGCATTCCAATTTATTATTTAAAAATATCTAATTTGGCGATTTTCTACACAACATCATTGTCTCATTTACTTGGCTCGAGAGTCATCGACTCCTATAGGACTACTCGCCGTTTCCATACAAAATAACAGGACTTAGTGCCGTCTCCTTCACGATCGATCCTTAGTCAATAAGGATCAAAGAAACCGAAAATCGAAGAAAAGAGAAAATTCGGAATAGCGATCAAAAGGGGATTATTGATTTTTGATCCGCCATGGCTTCTTCGGCGCTATCTAATCTGATGCTCGCCATTCACGAGAAGAAGGCTAGCTCCGTCGATCTCTACCGTCCTCTCCGCAACTACGTTACTTTCACCTACTCCGAGCGCGAGGCTCAGCTTCTGGAAGACGATCTCGAGAACCTGAAGCAACTCCGCTCCGATGTGGAACGCATCCCCGATCCGTCTCCCTCAGCCCGGCGAGACCTTCTCATCTCCTATTACAAAGCCCTCTGCCTTGTGGAGACGCGATTTCCAATCTCCCCAGAGAAGCACCACGTCAACGCCGTCTCTTTCCTATGGTACGACGCCTTCAAGCCAAAGCACAAAGCTACTCAGCAGAACATTCATCTGGAGAAAGCATCCGTGCTCTTCAATCTCGGCGCTAATTACAGCCAGATTGGGCTCGGTCATGATCGCACAACCGTTGATGGGCGTCGTCAGGCTTCGCATGCGTTCATCGCCGCAGCGGGAGCGTTCGCTTACTTGAAGGACAACGAGTCCACTAAGGCATCGATCGGGCAGAGCAGCACCACCGTCGACGTCTCGGCGGAGTGCGTGGGAATGTTGGAGCGGCTTATGCTGGCGCAGGCTCAGGAATGCGTCTTTGAAAACACCATTGCCAAAGGAAGCACTCCTGGTGTTTGTGCTAAGATTTCTAGGCAGGTTAGTGTCCCATCACGCTTCCATTTCTTATAATTGATTCAATAGATTCTTCAAACACGGATTGATTATACAATCTTCCTTAGTTTTTGGTAGAGCATCTGTTTTACTGAACTTTGTGGATTGAATTATGCACTTTTTGTTTGCTTGCAATCAGGTTGGTATATACTACGAGGAAGCTTTGGCTGCGCTAACCGCTGCGCCGTTGAAGGATCATTTTGAGAAAGGCTGGATTTCTCATGTGCAGCTGAAAGCAGCACTCTTCTATAGTGAAGCTTGTTATAGGTATGGAATAGAGCTGCACGAGAAAGAGGAAATTGCAGAAGAGATCGCACGGCTCAGGAGCGGGAGCAGCCGTTTGGCAGAAGCAAAGAAGTCTTCAAGGGGGTCTCCTCCTCAGCTTTTGGAAGCGTTGAACAAACTAGAGGCGAGCATTAATTGCAATCTGGATAGGGCTGTCAAGGAAAACGACAGAGTGTACCTCATGAGAGTTCCTCCTCCTGCTTCTCTGTCTCCACTTCCCACTTTCTCAATGGTTAAGCCAATGAATATGACTGAGATATTGGATGCGAGCAAGGAGAAGATGTTTGCAATTCTTGTTCCAGACAGCAGCGCAAAGGCTCTCTCTAGGTACACTGAGATGGTCGATGATGTGATTAGGACTCAGGCTGAGAGATTACAGCAAGCAAGCGAACTAACTCGAGTTAGGCTCAAAGAGATGGATCTTCCAGAGTCTATTATTGCTGTGGATGGTAATTCAACTCTTCCTGCTGATTTGAAAGAAGATGTAGAAGCTGTTCAGATCAGTGGGGGTCCAGCTGGCTTGGAAGCTGAAATTCAGCAACTTACAGATTTGAAGAGGGTTAATCATGAACTGTTGGTGTACACCGAAGAGATTTTGCAGAAGGAAGCAACTGAAGACGCTCAGTTCAGAAGCCAATTCGGGACTCGGTGGACTAGGCCTCAGTCTAGCACACTGACAAAGAACTTGCAGGATAGGTTACATCGGTTTGCAGCCAATTTGAAACAAGCTGGAGAAAGTGATGTGAAGATTGAGCGATCCGTGAGAGATAATTATGCCCTCATGTCAATTCTTGATCAACGGCCGGTATGTACTTCCTATTTTTTGTGCATGCTAGTTGTGTTTCTCCTGTTGCGTCTCAAACTGCGCCCGGAAGTTGTCCCTTAGGGATATACATTTCGGGTTATCCTAGTACCTGAATTTCAATTCACACACTTGGTTCAGCTATAGCACACTCATATCGGTTATGCTAATTCATAACGTTGTGGTTTTCTGTTTTGATCATCAGATAGAGTCTGCCGTCCCAACTCTAGCTAGGCCAATAATGTCTCTGGATGCAACAGAGGATGCTATCGTGGGAACTCTGAAGCAGAGTCTGGTATTCCCTCTCTCTTTTGGAAGCTGCGCGTATATACTTTTGGAGGGTTTTGAACAGTGCTTTCACGAATCATTGTTCTCACAGTTTTGGCTTCCCTTTTGCAGAGGCAGCTGGAAAATCTCGGTGCTCAGCGGGCAAGTCTTGAAGACATGCTCAAAGATATGAAAAGAAAAGTAATATCTTTCTATTTATTGGCCATCGTTGTCGTTCTTGATTATTTTATGATACTGGAGTCAGAAGACTCATTAGGCTTTTGCTTACTTGGTTTTAGGATGACATACTGCCAAAGCTGATGACAATCACAGGTTCGTATGAAGATATGTTCAGGAGAGAGATATCAAAGTATGATCACATCTGTGAAGACATTTCCCAAAACATTGAAGTTCAAGAGCAATTGTTGATGCAAATTCAGGTATACCTCTTTTGTCCAGCCTAGTATTGATACTTCATTATTTCATTATGGTGAATGTAATCAATATCCAAGCAAATTAACTGTTGCTAGCTTCTATTGGAACTGGACTGATCATGTTTCACTGCGGGTAGAAACTGACTGCTCTTTAATGGGTTCCTTTCTTTGGTTATAGGCTCAAAACGAAGAGTTCTCAAGACTTTTCAATCTTGAAGATTATAAAGGTAAGCAACCAGCTTCTGTCTTGCATGAACTCTCATAAGAAATATGATTGGATTAATCTAGTTTGTGTTTAGTATTCGATTTTGAAGTAATTATGCAACCACGTATTAGATTTCTGTGTTTTCTGGTTCTTCAGCATCCAGGGAGAAGTGCTACAAGCAGATTCAAGCTGCCATAATCAAATACCGAGAGATCAAGGAGAACATCAATGAGGGCTTGAAGTTCTATGTCACTCTGCAAGTTAGTTTCTTTCCTTTAAATAGTTTCAAGCTTTTTACTGTCTAAGCTTTGTCACTTGTCTGTGATGGCTCCTCGATTCTAAATTTTAAAGCTTCATTTGTTTGTCTCAATAGGATGCAATCACGAACGTGAAGCAGCAGTGCAGTGATTTTGTGATGACAAGGAGTATCCAGTGCAGAGAAATGATTGAAGATGTGCAACGGCAAATGTCCGGTCTGAGTTTTCAGGATCATAGAAGCTCCGGTCCATACCCATCTGTGCATCAGCAAAGGGCTTCAAGTTCGCCTCCTCCTCCTCCAGAGACACAGAACCAATCTCACCCTCACCAACAAGCACCATACTACAGACCGCCTGAGCAACATTCAAGGCCTGGCTACACTGTCCCACCCTACGGTCCACCTCCCCCATACCACACACCTCATGGCCAGGCGCCACAACCATACCCTCCTCAGTCCCCGCAACAGCCTCATCCGTCATGGCAACAAGGCTCCTACTATGATCCTCAGGGCCAGCAGCCTCGGCCTCCATACACCGCCCAGAACCCGTACCCTCCACCTCACCAAGGCGGCGGATACTACAGGCAGTGAGTTGTACCTTGGAAGCAATAAACTGTTGTGTTATTGTTCTTATTGTTGTGTTTCCTGTGAGTACTCGATGGGATATATATCTAGCTCTTTTACGTGTTTCTTGAATGAAATTGAAATATTACTTAATAGTGACTCAAATTCTTTGAACTGTTTGTTTATTTAAAGTGAAGACATGTGAATCATGTGATGGATGGGAGTTTTGTAAAGAACAATATTCATATATAAATAAGGCAAATCCTTGCTTATTGATTGAAATTTGAGAAAACATATATCAACATCGAGTGAGAAGGGTAAAGATCATGATGGATTTGTGTGTTTGAGGATTGAGGATGAAAGACGAATGAGCAAGTTTGAGGGAGTAGCGATCAAACAGGTCATCGAGTATTTGGTGGCCAAAGTGGGTGCGAATGAGACCATCCAGCGCCGCTCTAAGGTACAGAACCCTCGAGTTGAGGTCAGGCATGGTGTCATGTGCGTCCATTCCCTCAAGTATCTCCATTTTATCGATTTTCAACTCTCTGTTGCTTCTGATAATGTCTTCAAGTTCCTTTGGAGTTGTGTAATATATGGGCAGGTTGAAACTGTCTACGTCCTCTTCCTTTATTCTTCCCTGCAGTCAAGTGTTTTAAGGTCATTTTAATATGTCATGCGTTCTTCTTTATTCAGGTAAACCACCAAGTACCTCTCTGGCCAGGTCCATGAGGCATGAGCCCAACAGATCAAACTCAGATCCCGTTGAACACTGAGAATCGAGAAACCCATCTGGTACACCAGGCACGATCAGTGCCATCAACCCGTCTTCTACAAGCTCATGTGACCTGGCACGCAGAAATGACTTGATATCCTTGTCGAACTGACAGGAGTAGGCTTGCGCAACCTCTGCTGATGATCCTGTGTAGTGAATCTTAGCCTCTGTTGTAAGCAAGAGAGGTTGCGTCACTTAGCTCGGTTGGCAAGTCGGAGAGCCAACAGAGGGCACAAGAGGAGTAGGCCAAGTTGAGATATGCCTTAGAAAACAAGTTCCCATAGAAAGAGCCGGGGACACCTGCAAGCAATGGACCTATGTAATAGTAAGCGGAGTACTTACTTAAGCCAATTTAAAGTAAGTAAAGTATTGGACCTGCAACGAAGTAAGGGAGTTGAGTAGGGAGCAAAGCAAAAGTGCATTGAAATCAGTGTGTGAGAGGTCGTTGAAGAAGACTTGAAACTCAGGGGTGCTTTTAACATTAGGGAGAGAAGAGCTGAACTTGTGGTGGAGGGCTTGGATGATGATGTCTACAGCAAGAATGGTGTTGGGGCCAGAGGAGCATCCAAAATCCGCGATTGTAAAAGAAGAAGAGAAAGAATGGTTTGTGAGGTCGAGTCTCTTGTGGATCTCCTTCCTAAGGAGTGATTCAGCAGCGTCAATGGCTCCCCTCTGACGAGCACACACACAAGTATAACATGTTATGTTGGTATGCTTACAGAAAAAGTTAGTGGAAGAAGAGTGATGTATATAGAAACCTGATAGGAAGAGTTGCGAGCATAGCTAGAAGGACCGTCTCCACCGTTCATGGCTATTGTGATGCTATGGTTATAGACTCGTTTTAAACCCAACCCTTAAATAAAGGGTGAGATTGGAGAATCTACATTATTGTTGCAGTGTGTAACTATTAGGAAGGGAGAAATGTCATGACATGAAAACTATTAGGTTCGGTAAACGCAGCCTCCATGGGCCATACATCTCACACTCTTCCAAACTGTCCTTCCTTCACAAGCGGCTGCTGAATAATGACTTGTCTCTCTTCTTTCACTTACAAATAAAACAGAAAACAAAAACAGTCGCTTAGCCACAATTGGGATGTGACTTTACCAAAGAGACGGACTGTAGAAGACCAAGAATTTTCAAACGAGTCATAATGGATATCTATTCGTTGCGGAGGCTTGATATCTATCTTTATTGATACTCCAAAGCATTGTGAATTGTTCAACGCATTGTCAAAATCAATAAGACCAGCAAAAGGGACATGTGTTATTAGGTATGCAATTACTTAAAGTAGAGCAAAAGAGCAACGTCTGTAGCAAAAAAAAAATGTAAACCGCAACTTGCGATAGAAACAAAACCGAGAAGCAACAGCCATTTGGCATTAAGGTTTGCAGTTAAACAAAAAAGAAAAGTTCAAGATCCACTGCGTTTTATACATCCCTTCAAAGCACATGAAGCAGACTCAAGCTGATGACATCTTCACCTTCACCTCTTTTTCATTTCAGTTTTGTAAAAAGCTTGGGAGCAACCTGAAGATCCAAAAATCCAGTTTCCATATCAGTATCAAATTGTCAAAAGGAAGATGTGAATAGCAAAAGCAAAACTGTAAAAACTACTTACGCATTTGTCAATGCAGTGCCAGTAGTCGAAATACTGCCCAGTGCAATGCTTGTGGCCAGAGTCATCACCTTGGATTCTCTTCACACACGCCTGAGAACCACAACAAGACTTGTATCAGTGAACATTTATCACACATTTTGATATATTGTCACAACATCAATTTGCTCTTCAAATCACCTGATATTCGAGGAGTGGCTTCACACATTTTGGTTTGCAAGATTCCTCAAGGTACTTCTTTGGATCAACAACTTCTTCATCTGCCCTGAAATAATCAAAAAATATAGAACAAAAAACCATTAAATCATCCCCGTACCTATCCATCGAGGATGAGAGACATCATCAAAACCCGTGTTATGGCATACAAGAATTGTCACTACGATCGTTAAGACTGGAAAGAAAATAATATGTTGACAGAAAGCCATTCTTACAAAGTAAAGCTTTGGTCTATATGATGCAAAACCATAAGCCAGAAAAATGGAACGAATCAAACTGAATAGTGACCAAAAAACTAATAAAGGATCACATCTGGATGAAGAAATGGGCAGATTAGCATTATCACTATATCTAGATCATCATGGACCGATCAATACACACTATGGAGCACAATAAGACGACGATTCACTACATATGAACACTATGGAGCACAATAGAGACGTATGAATACGAAAGACTACACGAGATCGATCCACTCAATATGATGCGGAGATTGAAGATTGATAAGAAAAATGAAGGAATCGAGCTGAAAGAATAAACTTACATGGCGAAAGTCAATCGTAAAGCTGCAAACTGCGAGACAGAAATGAGATTAGCGTCAGAAAACAGAACCGATTGACTCGTGGGACGACGATATCAACAAATTGAAGGAAGATCTAAGAAATGGCGCAATCGAAAGATTTGAAGAAGATCCAATCCAATGAAATAAAAGGGGAATTTGGCGATACCTGAGTGAGAGAGGAGATCGAGACCAGAAGGAAGAACCCTACACAGATTGTTGTTTGAGTCAGTCTTTAGATGTCTCTAGATTCATTTCATTGCCTGTTTTTCGTCTGGGCAAATACAATATTTAGGCCCACGCCACTTAGAATAATTAAAAGCCCAAAGCCCATTAAAGAGACCAGAGAAACCAAACCTCCCAAGATTCCCCTAATAAAGGACATATTCTCTGACAACATCTTTTTGGCTTTTAAGGAAGTTGGAATTTAAAAAAATATGATGTTTGATGAAGAGTGATGATAGATGGTCAACATTGTCGTCTAAGATGCCAAATTACCTACCATTTGCAAACCTAAGAAAGATAAAAACACATGTGAGATGTTGGCCGGCACGTCACACAATCTAATATTATCTATCCACCAATCTCAGTTTCATTCTTTCTTTTTCATTATCTTCAATAAAAAAACAATTATTACGTTTGATATTGAGATGATGATAATACAAAGATAAAAAAATTGGGGGATAAGAGTCGAATGCATTTTTATCTCAGACAGCCTGCCAATGTTGGTCTTTTTATATGTAATGTACAACGACTGTCTCCGTATCATGTTTATGCATCATCTATTGATACTTTTATGTCGCATACCAAACAAAAGAAGACAACAACAGCTTTGAAGGGTAGCATGTAAAAAATAAAAGTAGTAATGTCAGTAAAAGCACTATCATGTTGTGTAAATATATTGGCAGGAGAAATAACGTCGTCATTAGCGTTAACATCATTTTTCAAAAATGAAATTCATGTCATTAACGTGTATTAAATGTAAAAGGTGTGAATGTTCAACCAAATCAACACCAGTAATAGTATTATTGATGCCATTAACATAGTAACTAGTAAGATTGAGGGAGCAAAACAAAGATGAAAGCAATTTTGATGAAAAAGAATTGATGGAAGCTCTGTAATGTCAAATATCACACAACTAACCCTAAAGAAAATTGCATTTACATTCTTCTTCTCCTTCCCTATTTACAAATAACCAAACCTACAATGGCATTTGACTGTCTCACCTCTCTCTCTTACTCTCTCTCGCCTGCTGCAACAATAATGATGAGCTTAGCGTCTCTTTCTCTCGAGGATCTTCTGGATCTTCCATGTCCAACACAGCAAGAAGGCTAAAAGTCCAAGTCCCACACTTCCCCATAGTGTCACTACCCACAATGGCATTTCCGTTGGATACAATCCTGTTCATGTGTCAGCCAAAAACCAAGTTTAGACTCTCCACAGAATGAAACTGTAGCAACAAATAGATATATAAAGCAGAGCAATGTGTAAGCAACCACTTACCATTTCCAAACTTGATGCAGATGAGAAGTTCCACTATGCATATCCCCAGTGAAAGCCAACAGAATGATCCCACTTTTTTCACAGGTTTCCTGTGAACAACCAAACTCCCAGTTATATATAAATCCTTATCTCAACTAAAACCAACCAACAATCACAGCGGCTATAGACTTACCGGTCTTGAAGATATGAATTGTATTCCCTTGTTGTTGGTATCGCTATGAGCCACCACAAGATCAGCCTATAGAGAATCACTGGGTTTCGAGGAGGGATCCACAGGCTAAACTTAAGAAAGAATGTGTTCAGCTCCACGGTCAAGAATATGATACAAAGAGTGAGCACTTGAATAAAACGCCAAGGTCCCTGCAGCGGATGCCACTCGTCTTTATCCCAATGAGCTGGCGTGAACTGCCCCAATGTCCTTTTCACCTGAAAAAAGATTCAAAACTCTCATCAATCACACAACAACGTCTAGGACCATGTCTATGCACTCTTGAGGTCAAACAAAAAAACATACTTTGCCAATAATGTTAGGCTGCCTGCTAATACCAACCCACTCGTATGTTTTTCCATCGAAGTACCGTACGGTATACATCCCTGCCCATATCCCTACCAAGATCAAACAATATAAACTGTTACTCATAACATCTTACAAGCACCGGAAATCGAATGGCAAGGTGGATTAAGATTTAAGAATCATACCGAACCAGTTGCATATCAAGATATCAAGAACAATACTGTCCCACCAGCACTCGTTGAAATTTGGTAACATGTGCCGAAAAGTAAGCTGGAGAAACATAAATATATGTATACTATTAGTGAGTGACACAGGGGAAATGAAGACCAGGAAATATAAGGGAAATGAAGACAAAAACCAACCTCCAATAACTCAAAACCAATTGAAAGCACCCACAGAAGTGGCTGATTCCGGATCAGAATCGCTTTACCCCACCATCCAAAGATGTGAGCCAAGAAAAACTCGTCAAAAATTGTGTCCTGTAGAAATAGTTAACCAAAGCATAAGCCTTTAGATGATATGAAAGTTATGCCCCACCAACATGAAAAGAGAAATGCTAAGACAACTTTGTTGAAAAATAAAGGGGGAGTTGTTGAGAAGATACCATACATAAAGATTTTTAAACCTGTTTGTTGGGTGATCAGCCACATAGATACGACAATCAGCACCGTATGATCTCTCAGGAAGCTCTGCAACATGATCAAACTCAATAAGAATGGTCAATCATAAATGTGGTGAATAAACAGCAACAAAACAACTCTGAAAAAAAGTTACCGATGCCAAGGTCAGGGTGGAGAAACTTCATAAACTGCCGAGCATCATCACGTCTCTGGAAGAAACAATTTAGTGAATATTAGAGTTTGTTCACTATAATCATAGGAATAGGCAAGTGTACTGTAACATACAGAGGAAAAAGTGAAACCTGGAAGAGCAAAAAAGTAAGTGAAACAAGGTAAATGACGGCCATTCCATGTACTAATCGCCAGATTGCAGGATGTGGCCTAATTAGAACCCTGCACAAAGCAAATACCAAAAATTGATTCAAGACACAGCACAAGTATCACCTTTTGAAAATCTACAATTGAACACAAGAGAAGGAAGCTGATTACGTTGAAGGGGCTTGGAGCAAAGAGTAAGCAAGAAAGACAGCAATCATAGCCCACACTCCCCTGTGAACAAACAATAGTAGAGCAGTGTCAAATTGATGTATCAAAAGGCTATAATACATGATGGGGTCTAGGCCAAAAAAGGAGAAACCTTTTGACAGATGTGACAACATCATCAGATGTAGTGCTTTCAGGATCAAGAGCTCCACTTGCCCAACTGAGTCCAAATTCAAAACCCAATTTTTGAGGATTACAAGAAAAATGGGAAAAGGGGAAGAATAACAGAAGGAAGATGGTGACTCACATGAGGAAACAAGCGCCGATAAGGAGAAGAGAGATGGTGCGAGGCTTGTAAGCCCATGCAGTCCATGGATCAAGATCATTCTCCACAACATCACCATTCACTCTCCCCAAATGCTCCTTCCTTCTCTCTTTCCTGTACCCATTGGGCTCCATGGCCAAACCAGCTTCTCAAGTATATGCTAATAAGAAGAGAGAAAAGAGAAGAAGAGCAGAGAGAGACAATTATAAGTTGGAGATGAGATTAAGAAGGCCAGTGGAAAATGATGAGAGTAAAAATGAAAAAAAAAAAAGGTGAAAAGAGAAAAAAAGGCAGACAATGGAGTAGATACGGAGAGGGAGGTACAAGGTACAAAGCAGAGACAGAGAAGGTGTCTGTCTCTGCAGAGGTAAAAGCAGTCCCAAATATCAGATGATTTAGTAAAAATACGCTAAAATTTAACCCAAAGAAATGAAATGTTTGGGGAAAATAGAAAAAGGGAGAGGAAACGATTGGGATTACCTGAAAGAGATGAAGAAGAACCCTAGCGAGCGAGAGAGGTAGAGAATTGGATTGAAATGAGAGAGAATCAGAGTAAGAAGAACAAGTAAGAATCGGAAGTAGGAATGGTCGATGATGATGATGAATAAGAAGAGAGACGGTCAAAGTATAGAGAGAGAGAGAGAGAGAGAGAGAGGAATAGATACGCTTCTGCTTGTGTTTCTGTTCACGATCTGAAAACGACTCTGCTTTCTTTCCCCCACGATTTCTCTTTTCTACTCCTCTTTTTTTCCTGAATTACCCCCTTCTTCTTCTTCATCTTCTTCCATTTAATGCATGTTATTTGTCACTAATTAAAAAACTAATTCCGTCGATTTTGTCACTAATTAAAACGAAATTAAAATAGGGTGTTCTTATTGTTTTATCGCAAATGAAAATAAATTTAGTCTGTTTTATCGCAAATTAAATTTCGTTTAGCCGAATTAATTTTGAAAAGAACCTGACATTTATGGACCTTTGACATGATACATTGTTTAATTGCACCCAAATTAAACAACATTTTGTATTTTTGAAATACCTCAGATTTTGAAATTTATTAATACGCTTATTTAAGTAATTGATTTGACAGATATTCCCAAACGTACAAAGGGGAAGCAGGGAATAATAGCCCTAATTAGTAGTATAAATTCATTTTTATTTTTATTTTTTTATTTTAGGGAAAGTCGTGGTATAAATTCAAGAGAGAACAAAAGAAGTGAAGTGATATGGACATGTCTCTGTGCTTGAAATCGATCACAATAATAGCTCTACCATCCTGATATAAATGTACAAATGTAGAGAATGAATTACCTAACTATAATTCATTGATTAAAAATTTAAAATCATCACATAACTCCGAATAAAAAAAACTTGAGCAGTAATTGGTATCTGGAAAAAATTGAATTCGAATAGAAACAAATTTAAACAGCTCATTCCTATAAGAAGACCATGCAGATGGAGACACCACTTGTCACAACATTACCCCTCTTCTCACTCTTTTTTCTTTTTCTTTTACCGTTAGTAATAAATAGCTAAAAATAATAAAGTAATAATAATAGCTAAATAATTAACAATGGGATTTGAAATCATAAAAAGTTATAAGACGAGATTCTTGGAATAAAAGCGTGGATATTCCGCAAGTAAATTAAACAGTACAAGAAGAAAAAACGTGAGAAAGAGATAAAGATAATGATGATCAGGTCAAAGTAAATGATGGGATTGAGGGATTAAGAATTTCGATTTGATGATATTCGAAAATCGAAATCATTGAAGTGGTAATGATTGGCAGAATAAAAAGGCATTACAGCTCTACGTGTATATTATCATCATATCGATTGATACCAATAATAGCGTGACAATGAATGATTTCGTAATAAACTACATACACATATAATCATGACAATAAGCCTATCATTAATTAATGATATTCATCACAAGAGTTTAGTTATGTAATGAGA